ACATGCTCTCACTTAAACCTTCCTAAGGGTAGGATAGGATAGGTCAGTCAATGATGCGCTAGCCCCACCTAAAGGGGGACCAGATCTCACCTTGGCGGCACGAGGCTGCCTTCATTGCACCTCGGGTTTCTCTTACCCAAAGACTCATGCACATGTTAGACTCCTTGGTCCGTGTTTCAAGACGGGTGGTATGGACCCATATGACCACCAGCGTCCCAAGCGTGTTGTATAAGAACACCACCCTTATGACCTTACAGCAGCAGTCACAGAGCACTGCAAGTAGTCCACCATGGTCAACGACCAGTTGGAAAGACGGGACCCTAGCCACAAGAGGCACAAGCTGCAACTTCCTCGGTTGGACCCAAGCTGTGGGAGCCAGGCTCTAACAGTCTAACAGGAATGACTTCAATCAATCTAAAAAAATAACTTGCTATGGAACTGCTGTTTACATTAAGAATGATTTGAATTGTGCAGAAGTTCCACAAAGGTTTAACTTCTATAATGTGGAAATTAACATTATGGTTCTTAGTGATCCAATTCCAATGTTCATGTGATCAGTATCTACCGTTCTAAAACCTATGTAAAATTGTCAAGCTTCATTGATGCCCTAAATAATCACCTTCATAGCTCAAAATTAACAGACTGCAGCATTCCTGTTGTGCTCCTAGGCGATTTCAATGTGAATCTGATGGAACAGACTACAGAACAAAGGGCTCTTAACAAATGTTTAATCAAAGAAAGAGGATATACACAGTTGATTAACCAGTATACTAGACTACCATACTCTGATAGATCACATTTATACAAATATACATCTTGTAAAATCTGCAGGTACACTTGAGTCATACTACAGTGATCATAAGCCAATTTATGTGTCCTTCACAACTTTGTGAAGAATGTTACTGTTGGTAACCTTGATAAAGTACTTGGTCTAATAAAAATTTCAAGTCCATACATAGACTTTTATTGCCAGCAACATTCTAAAATTTTTACAATTTCTGGAAGCACATTGAAGACCATAATTATTATTTTGTGATATCTCTCTATAGGGCTAATTGCTACACTAGCTGTCCAACCAGCAGTTTAATAAAAAATTATTAAAACTTACTAATACTTGCTAATTGCTACATTAGAAGAAGAAGCAGAAAAAAACTATTCTTTCTTGTACAGCTGAAATGGGCCCAACTACCACCTTCAGACCTAGTTCTTTTCTATCTTTCGTGTGTTCGATCTACGATAGACTACGGAGTTCCGGTTTTCACAAATTGCTTCCGCAGTACCTTAAGAACGAGCTCATAAATATCGAGAAAAGGGCACTATCGATAATTTTGCCCAGCATGAGCTACAACAAAGCCTGCGAAGTTTTGGGAATAATGCCAATAACCGAACACCATAGTCCGCTATGCACTAAACTGTTTGACGTCATAGTAGCTGACCCCAACCATAAGCTACATGGATTACTGCCATAGAAAAATAATGTTGTTTATAATTTTCAATACAATCGTCCCTTTGTTTTACTGCGCGTTCACACCAATAGGGCAAATTACACTTTCATACTTGCAATGTCCCAGCTATTCAACGCATCTTCTCATAATACATAGATTATTTCTTAAATTTTAGTTCAAGGATGAAAAAGTTTTACAAATTTAAACATTTTTACCATTATATTAAACATAGATTTATCATAGATTATTATTGTCCTTTTAGAAGTTGTAAAAGTTACTTAATTCAGCCTTCAGGCTGCGATGTGATTTAAATAAACCATCTATCTATCTATCCAATTGCAAATAAGATCAATTAGAAGGAAAAAAACTACTGTTCCTACATCCACTGGAAAGAAAAATCCGCCTCGAAACAACTTTCCTGTTGCATTAGTGACTAGTCCAAAACAAATGTCAGTTGAAGGTTTCCAAACTGCAAGTAGTCCTTGTGGAAGCTCACCTCAGAAACATCCAAAAATTGACTTGGCAACTGCACCAGGTCATCTGATGGCATATGTTCACAAGGTGACACCACTGAAACGAAATCACTCCAATACGTTAGATTACTTAAATCTCTCACTTCAGTGTTCATCTGCCAACTATTGTGGTATTTGCTTCTCTCACACCAAACAAAAGCTCTTTGTGGAAAGACAGGAGAGCAAAACTGCCATCAAGTTGCAACAATTCACCCTTGCTAAAGACGGTGAAACCATCTTTGTGAATGATATGTGTCCTCACCAAATAGTTTGGAGTACAACTTCCAATATCAAGATATCGACTATCCTGTCTTTGATTCCCTAACAGCGGAGCAAATTAGTTGTTGCACAAAAGTCGTCTTCAAAGGAAATCAAGTGGAAGGTATTGGAGCGTTTAAGTTGAAGAAGGTGGATTGTTATATCACTGATTAAATGTGCCTTTAGAAATTAACCCTGTGGAAAGGATACATTGACATGGTATCTGTTGGAGAGGTTTACACATTCAAACATCTCTGAATAGGGGAGAGCGACAGCGAAGAAAGC